TTCCGTCTAAGCGCAATTGAACACGCCAAGCTTAGACATACAAGGCGACGTTTCCTCGGCGCTGGGTGCGAACTCAGAGCTCGATGCATCAGAGCATTAAGGTACCGTACGCAAAGCTAGGAGGTAGGTGTGAGCGTGTGTCACGGCGCGTGCGTGTTCGCGACTTCGCGCTCAACCAAGGGGGAAAGCGTAGGTTTTATTCAGAGGGCCCCCCGGACCGCCCAAGCTGGTTAGACCCAGTGGGTTGTCACGAGCCAGCGCGCTGCCTTCAGAAGGGTCTGGGGTGGCGCCTGTTCCCGTGATCACGGGCCGGCAGCTGACTGAAACGCAGGCCTCACCGGCGGAGATGAGGAAATCAAGCAAAATGACTGGCATCGGTGGAAGTCACACCGACGACTTCCGACTTGGCCTTTCGCCCGTCTGAGGTCGACCAAATGGCGGGGCTCGCCCCTGGACAATGACGCTAATTGGTTCCGTCCGGCCGAAAGGCACGGAATGCTGCGCTAACCAGTGGGCTCCACTTTTGTCTGGCTGAACGGCCCCCGAAACTGCGGCAGTCAACAGCAGCCAGTGAGAGGGCGTCCAGCACAGAGCACCTGGCCGTTTGAGGTCATCCCACAGCTCCCAGGCCGCCGCCTCGAGACAAGTGGGGTCCTCTGGTCCAGACAGCAACCTTTCGCCTCGTGGCCCATCTGCCCTTTTAACATTTCTTTCTGCATGTAAATGCTAGGACTCTGTTTATCCTACTGCACGCATTCCGTTTCTGTCTTGCCTCGTCCCAAACGCTTGCTCATTGCTCAGCCCCGTCGCCGTCGCTCGAGGCACCGCTTGACTCAGCCGTGACGAGGCCGACATGTGATTTGTTTCGCCTTGATACTCCTGGGACTACTTCATATCAGGAAGGCGCTTCCTCTCTCGTGTTTGGGGTTTTCACCAGCGACAGGAAAACATCGCCAAATCGCATCAGTAACTGCCCTGTTCTTCCATCACCATGGCCGTCACAATGGATACCACGACTATCAGCCCTCCCGACGTCAGAGCCATCGCCATACCCGTCCTCTCTTGTCTGCCTGGAGCCGCTGTCTCGGCCAAGCCAGCATCAACTGTTTTGCCTCTGCTGTCCCCAATCCTCAGACAGCGCGTCCAGCTCTTGTCTGACGCCAGCCAAGAGCCATGGATCCGACTTCTGACATACGACACATCCAAAGTGCCGAAGCTGACAGAGATTGCTCAGGGTGGGTCTCTCGAGCCTCATCCAGCGTCGGGTGAGATCGAGGTCGACTGGGACTACGACGTCCAGATCAAGTACCGGAGGTTGGATGCTGAAACTCTGCAAACGTTGATCGTGTTGGGAGAATTTGATCTGTTTATTCGGTTGGTGTATTGCATTGGCGATAAAGAAGGCGGTGGTGACGGCTGGCGGGTTGGTGAGGTGGGAGTTGCTAGCGACCCTTCACCTCTTGCTTCCTTCGGCGGGTTCGATAATCTTAGCGAAGCCGAGAAGTCGTTCAGGAGTCTATCTGCCCCTCCGTCAAGACAACCAAGTCGCACAGCCGCCCTCGCGGTGAACGGCGCAAACGGCGCATACAGGGCACCAAGCCCGGGCATCGTGGACGAAGATGACGACGACGACGACTACTGGGGCCGCTACGATGCGACACCGTCTCGGACACCAGCAGCCAAACAATCACCTGCACCACGGTCAATGACGCAAAACCAGCAGCCTGTCGCCTACCGCAACCCGGAGGCAGAGGATGCCTATTACGCGCAATACGACTCGGTCCAGCCTGCCATGGACCCTCACGATCCTGACGAGGAGATGCCGGAGCACGTCCAAGCTCCTCCGCCTCTGGGGCTCGCCAGACCCGCACAGTCGCTCGAGACCATGGAGGGGACGGACGTCAATGAGACCAGTGGCGCCTGGACTCTCGCGGATCATCCCAAATCCCCGTCGGCCCAGACCAGCGAGGGAAGGGCGGCGCCTCTGATCCATCCAAGACCAGAATCTAGCGCGAGTTCCAACGGCTCGATAAACATCGCGAGACTTGAGGAGAGCGCCGAGAAGCAAGACCAAAGCGAATTCGGGATCAAGCAACACGTCTCACGAAGCATCCGAAGCCTATTCCTGTTGTCGCGCTCGGCAGGAATCGATCGCGAAGAATTCGAGAGAATGGTTAAAACGGAGCTGGATGTGTTAGGAATGGTAGAAGATGATATCTGAGGGAGTGATGGGATGTAATAATCTAAATTGTGGTTGCTGCATTCAAGCATTGGGGAGGTCCGCTTTCTCGCTTCTGCATTTCTCGGCGTTCACTGAGCATTTTCTGTCGATGGATGAAGATCATGAGCTGTTCCAGATAGCGTTTAATTACCATATGGAGGCCATAAAAACTCGAAACAATTAATTTGGATGTCAAAGACTCGAGCAGAAAACCCCGGTGAAATGCGAAAGGTGAAAGGTGAAAAGCTAGGGTCCCAATAAAAACCGGAGGAAGTGTTCTCTTTTCGGAGGCTCGGCCACCGAGAAGCCCAAGAAGCCTCAAGACATCCAGCAAACAACCCAACTGCATTTCAATTTCAATCCACAATCGGATTCATCTGGTCTATATCTGAGCTGCTTTAGCTCCCTCTTGAAGCTCTGTAAGCACATGTCTTGTCTGACATTGGGAAATAGACGAGAGGGTTAGGGGTAGAGCTTGTCAGCTGTCGGGTCTCCTCTGCATAGCTGCCTCGATTGTTAGGCCACAGCAATCGGAGCTTCCTGAAAAAAGTTGAGGTCGCGTCCTGACAGCCGAGTCCACCCACCTTCCCGCGACGACGACGACGACGACGACGACGACGACGACGACGACGACGACGACCCCGAGTGACCAGACCACAACATGCTGCGACCAAGGTTAATAATACCGCGAGCGCCGCGCCTGTGCCTCGTCAGGCCGTCGCGATCCTACCACACGATCCCCGAGCTTCAGTACGTCTGGAAAGAAGACGACAAGTCGCCCCAGCTTCTCACCAGGTTTGGCTTCGACCAGGCCTGGACCCAATACCAGTCCTTCATTCTGAACAAGCTCAATCGGCTCACGACTGGTGTGTATACTCTCACGCACGCCAGTAGGAAACCAGAGCACATGACTAACCTTTGTAACTCTGACCGCAGCCGAGCCAGGTCAGAAGAACAAGTGGGAAGGCAAGGACCTCAAGACGGTACTCCTTGGCACCGCTCGTGATCCCGAGTCTGCCGCAATTTTCAACCATGCCAGCATGGCGCACAACAATCACTTTTTCTTCAAGCACTTGGCAAACAGCACCGTCAAGATTCCCAACTCGCTAAGGACCGACCTCGAGACTTCGTTCGGCTCCATCGAGACGCTTCGCCAACAAATGGTCTACACTGCTGCAGCAATGTTCGGTCCTGGCTTTGTCTGGCTTGTCAAGCACCAGAAGAATGGCGGTTTTCTATCCTACAAGGTGCTCACTACGTACCTCGCCGGATCCCCATACGCGGGCGCTCACTGGCGCCGCCAGGACGTCGACCTCAATACCTCCGTTGGCTCGACCGAGAGGGGTATCGATACGGGGCGCAAGTACCTTGAGAACGCCGCATACGGCTCCGGGGGCAAGGAGCCAGCGGACAATCGCATGAAGCTCGCGCCAGGAGGAATCGACGTCGTGCCCGTACTCTGCATCAACACATGGGAGCACGTCTACCTGCCCGATTACGGCATCGCTGGGAAGCTGCAGTACGCTGAAAAGTGGTGGGACTTTGTTAACTGGGAGCTGGTTGCCGAGGAAGCCAGAGTTCTCAAGACATAAGCGCATATCACTGGTCCTAGATAGGGGTTGGGATGATGTATGATAGTAGGAGGGAGGCGGTTAGAGATATCTTCTGCATGTATCCCGTTGAGCGAGCGGGTTGCCACCTCATACCTGTACAAATACACCATGTATTCATATGGCAGATACAATAGAAGAGTGAGTTACAGCATTATGCGGGCGGTCGGGAAGTTATGTACGAACTCTATCTTGGAGTATTATAACCGGTTACAATAATCACGGGTGAATGACGGATCTTTGTTTGACAACTATTTTGGTGCCTACCTTTCTCGGGAAGAATTTCGAGAAACACCAATTTTCCAGGCTCGGTTGACAGATGAGCTTCGGCGTGGTCATGTATCCTGGCCTTAAATCTAAGGTCATTCCAGATTCTCGGGCCGGGGAGAGCTCACTAACCAGCTTGAATTTGCCTCTTCTTTGTCTTGAAGCATGTCAAATTCGTTGAGTCCAAGTTTGGAATTCATTCCCGGTTTTCAACACAGCAGTACCTAGAGTAAGCTCTGGATAGCAACTGAACTTCCGCTCTTCCATAAGTATCCTCTTCAGACTCCTTTTTTTTTATTTTTTTATTTTTTTATTTTTTTTAAGCAAGGGGCCTAAAAGGTTTCAGTTTTGATTTCAACATTATTGGTGATGCATTCCGGTCTCCGATGGTTTGCATAGTGCTGGCTTCGCACCGCTATGGAAGTTCTCAACATTTGCGCCTAAAGTTGGAAACATCATATCTGTAACTTCTACGCCACACCCGTCTTCTCATGTCGCTCTCCTATAAGACACATTGCAGTAGTCTCTGATGATATGAGCATATATTATTACTGACTTTGTTTTCTAACACGCCGTCTTACAAGCAGGCATGGAAATACATAACCTTACCTCACCTTTACAATAATCACTCGGTCTACATTCAACAACCATAATGTACCTAAAAACGACAATGCACATTCGGCGTTTAGCTTCACTTCAACCCATCAAGTTTGCCAACACGAAGACCGACACAAGATGCAGACACAGCTTATACAAGTGGACGGGCGTAGCAGGCCAACGGGACCTCTGTCTCAGCCGCTGGACCATGTAACAAGGTGCCAAAAGGCAGAGTGAGATACACACAATACGTGTCCAGTATCTTGCTGCAAAAGAACACTTCTTACTCATCTCCAAGGGAGGCATGCGCCAGCCGCGAATCGACCGCCAGGCCCATCGATGGCAACGATAGATTTTACCATTAAACCACTGGCGCTGATGAGTTGAGGAGTTGATGAAAGTCATGACTGGCGGATGAAGAATATGGGATGGGGTTTGGTGGAACAGGAGGGCTTGTAGAACTCGTCTCTGCCCATGAGGCAATGTCCAACCCCTAAGCATGACCGGCATGAGACACTCAATACAACTCAAATCACAGAAGCACCTGCGCAGTTTATCATGACCCTGATAATTCAATGTGACTACTTTTTGTCAATCTCATTATACTAGCTAGCTTCAGCAACCTTCATTCTCATCCCCCGTCTCCCCCTTTCCAGCCACCAGCCACCAACCATTCGCCGTTCACCGCCCCAACTGGCAACCACAAGTGAAAACGAAGAAAAGAACGTATCGTGTTATATGTTGCCATATGTTAACGCTCTTTCTAGCCCCCCAAGATAACAGAGAAATACCCATCCAGCATCAATCATAAACACTAAGCTAACATAATCAGGTATCTCTCTTGGACTTCATATCCTCGGAACAACATATCCTTCACCCCACAGAGACGGTTTGAAGGAGTAAAAAAACGCCGGTAAACATTAAGCCAAGAACGCGCCTTCGCCCAATGCATTCAGTGAGAGGAAAAAAAGGTATCATGGAGTTGAGAAAGTCGGATATCATCGAAGCTGTGAGAATGGTATTGTATAAAGGGGAAGGGAATGCAGTAGTGTGTCTGTTCAGGAGAGGGGCTAGATCATGTTGCCGTTCACGCTGACCTCGAAGCCCTCGCCCTTCTGTTTGAGGGCCTTGGCCAACATGAGCTCGCGCATCCAATCAATGCGGTCATCTCTGTTCTTGACGGCAAAGTGGTGAGTCTTGCCCGTGCCGTTCATAGCACCATCGATGGTCGAGACGCTGGATGCGCTTGAGCCACCGAGCAAGCTACCGAGGGTACTCTCCCGCTTCTTCAGCTTCGTGCCGCCGCCCTTGGCATCCTGGGGAATGAGCTGGAAGCTGAAGGCAGCGACATCGCCCTTGGCAGCCTTGTCGTCGCTGCCGCGGCGGATGTGCATGGCCTTGAAGGCCGAGTTCAGCTTGGAGTTGGCCATGCTGCTGCAGGCAATGGCATAGTCATCGATGTCAATGTACTCCAGCGTCTTGTTGTTTGCCGTCTCGGCATCCTTGTGCATAGCGAGACGGGTGCCGCGCAGAGTGAAGAAGTGCTCGTGCCACTCGTGCCGGAGCATTTTGGTTTTGCGCTTCTTCATGAGTCCCTGGTAGGAAATCTGGTCGCCACCTGTCATGTCTTCCATAGGCCCGGTCCTCACTGGCGACAGACGACCACCAATGTCGACGGCCGTCATTGGGGGAATCGCACGCTCCATAGTGGGGTGCTCGGCGCTGGTCCAGGGGTAGTGGACACGAGGAGGCGCCTTTTGCACCGGTGTGCCTGTCTGCCTCACGCTGGTGCTCCTCGCCATGGGGAAAGTTCGCGATGGCTTCAGCGTCATGGGCGTAACAATCCTGTTCTCGTCCAGCGCAGGAAGCACGGGGAATGAGGGGCGGCGGGTGGTTGCTCGAGAGAGGGAACGAGCTGGAACGTGGACTTGCTGTCGGAAGTTCATGTCAGGCGGTACCGACTGTGTGATTTCACGGGAGAGCGGAGGAAGCTCCGTGACCGTGGCGGGCACGTCCATCATGGAAGCCGGGGTTCCGAAGCGGTAAGGGGCAGTTGGAGTGCCCTCTTCGGAGGTCGTAGGGCTCATCTCACGGAACGAAGGAATCGTCTGCGAAAGCGGGCGAGCGGCCAGGGGGTGTGCCGAAAGGGGAACCGAGTTACCTGGATGAGCAGAAGCTGGCTGGCGAGCACCAGACAGCGGGCTTGGCGCCTGGGAAGGGATCGAGAGCTTGGGAAGCCCCCGCAGCCCTGTACCAGGCCCAGCACTGGCAGCCCTTTGTTGGACATCCCGAGGGAGGATCTCGAATGGCGGAGTGAGAGGTATCTCGGCTCCTTGGGTGAGTTGACTCTGGAAGTTGAGGAAGTTCCGGACATTGTCCTGAGGATCCCTCTGCTGGACAGCTTGGAGCATCGCCTCCTGGAGATACTGGGCTGGTGGAAGGCCACCAGGTCCCATGACGTCCGAGGATGCCACGAACGAAGGAATTGCGTCGGAAGAAGGGCGGAAGTAATCGTCATGCATGTTGGGGTCGATGGCTGGCGCTGTGGCCGGGTTTCCTGGGTTTCCGGCGACCATAATGACACCGCCGGCCTCCACGTTGATGAACGGATGATCTCTCTTGAACGCCTCGATCATCCGCTGGTTGCGCTTCCACTTTTGGCAGTTCTCGCCCTTCTTGCAGTGGTGAGGCTTGGGCATCATCTGCTCAATGCCTACGATTGAAACCGATTCGAGCGGAGAAATCACATCGTTGAACTTCGCACGCGGCTTGCTAGGCTTGCGCTTTGGCTTGTCCGCACTGCTGTTTTGTCTGTGCAATTCGCGCCTCACCTGGCGGTCCGGCTCGTCCTCAATGGGCGTCTCGGGCTGCGGGCCTGGTTGTTGGAGATCTCTCATGACGTGGATCTCCTCCCAAATCCTTGTCCTCACCCCAAAAGACGAGATACCGAGCTCCTTCAGGTCCTGGAACTTCAACGTGATAAGGATGGCGCCGTTGATGTCGTTCTCCAAGAAACGCTCGCAGGCGGGAAGCTCAACGCCAGCGTTTAGCATCCACTGAGCGATCATTTCCGGAGTCCACTCTGGCAGATTTGACGTCTCGAGCTCTGCGTCTGAGAACTGAAACGGACCAGAAGTGCGCCTTCGTGGAAGGGGCGTGCGGTGAAAGTCCTGCAGTTGCGCATCCATTTGCCGTGGGTCCTTGGGTGTGACTGGTGAGAGCGAGAGCGCATGCTGGAGCTCTATTGACTGTGCCGACGTAATCGAGTTGTGGAACAGGTGCGGCCCCCGAGGTCCCTCGACTGGTTTTGGCTCATTGTCGAACGGATAATGCGCGCCCCTGAATATTACTGATCTTGGTGTTTGAACCTCATCATAAGATGAGAGAGTCGTAAAACTTGGTTGCCCGGACTACATGGCCGTTAGTACCCCGAGCGGCGATAGCGACTAGGAATTCGAGAAGTCTCACCGAGCCAACACTGATGCGAGGGGAGTTCTCGCCGTCCTCCAGACCGCACTCAACGTCATCCTCGATATCGCTATAAGCGTCCGACTCGATCACGGACTCAATCTCGATCTCCGACTCCTCCATCTCCCAGTCTGTCCCCATGAACTCGGTGTGGACCGACTTTGGCCTGTGCTCGATAGTGCGGTTTGAGAACAGAGATGCCCTCGCCCCTGGCTTCTCACGCATCTCCCTCTGCGGCAGCGGCCGCGGTGTGCCCCAGCGTGCTTGCTCCTGAATCATGGTGAGCGCGGGTTCGACACAGGCGGGCGTAATGGCTTGGGAGTGGGCGGGCATACCATCTTGGCCCTTGTCTCGGACCGAAGGGGGGGTTATGAGAGTCCTCTCTCAGCTCTGCCGCCTCCTTTTGTGTGTTCGCTGGTGCGGTAGCCGACCAGATCAGCCTTGCAATTGCCGCGCTAGACGGTAGACGAGCGCCCCTGAGACGGAGTGGACGTAGATATGCAAGACAGGGCGAGCAGTGAGGCCCGTTTCATCGACCCGCTTTGCCAGAAGCAGATGCCGAAACGAAAGAAATGGAATCTGTGGAACAGGACGGGCGGCTACAGCAGGTTATGTATGGTAGGGCCTGGAGAATTCGATGTTACAGCAGCGAGCGCGGGCCGGCAGGGTGGAGCGCGAGAGACATGCGCAAGCGCTGGAGAAGGTGACGCTGCAGCTTCCAGGACAGTGTGATCCAGCCCACTGTCTGCCGTAGTGCGATCAATCTGTACTGCGTGCGCTGCCAGGTGAATGTCGGTCGGAGCGAGACAGAATCAGAACAGGCCCTTGTCAGTGGCGAGAGAGGGCACCCGTGGGGCAATATGTGTGATATTGGGCGGGCAGGGCCACGCCATTCTGCGAGACTTCTGGGGGGCGTTGCGAGGAGGGATGCAGCCATGGCTGCTCAGAACCTGCCATAGTGGCTCTTTTCGGCCTCTCAGGCCTGAACAGAATACAATTATAGCAGTGTGTCTGCGTGTGAAGCTGCGTGCCACTCCGACAGAGCCAGTGAGAACGAACACAAGGGCAGGTCGGCGGCAAGCGATGAAAACTCGAGGGCTGGTTGGGCAGCGTTCGGCACGAAGGGGGGAATGGTTGGGATGGCAGCACCCCATGCCTGCATTGCAGTAGCGTGGACGATGCAGAAGTGGGGCCGTTGGCGGCGGAAGAGAGGGCGACCTGCACTTCCCATTGGCTCAAAAACCTGTCGAGGACCGCCGTGCTTCTGCCACCTGATTGGCTTATCTGACTAAATCTAAGCGCCGACGGCAGCAGCTATCCTTCTTTCGACCTAGTCGCACGCTTCTCCACCCTTGTCGACGGGAGACAGGCGAGGTCCCTGCGAGTGCCGATCCTCTCTCTTCCCCTCACCCACCTCCGCCGAACCTGTGCCCAGCCTGGAGCGCCCCCAATGCTCCTCTACGCCGCTGCCGAGCATGCTGCTCGTCGTCTTTCCGGCCTCTCCCAGCGGCCTTCGGCCCTCCATCTCGCCATCCGTGCAGGCGGCCACATATATGGCGACCTGGACACGGCAGAGAAAGGCCGTTGGGACGGGTGAATAGCTCCAGAATGCCATGCCCTAGGACCATTTGGTTGAATAGACCACCGGAGCGCAGCGGCGCAGGTCGCGTTCGCATCCGAGCTTCTGCAAGCCATACACGATTGTGTGGTTCGATGAGGCCATCTTGCAGCTCCTTTCCGCGGGGTTGAGACCTGCGCAAGATATCGCTCAGGTCCCAACAGCCTGGAGGTCGGGAATTCGAAGGGCCGATATCCACCAGCAAACGCACACAAACACAATCCTGGCCGCGAGTTCGGAGAGAGAGAGAGAGCGAGAATCGGCGGCTCACCATCTGGATCGTTCTTGAT